GAGGTTAGACGGGCTTGGAGACTGAAGTCCAATACTCACCAGCTACTCACGTGTTGTTGCTTGTTTCACGCCTCAAGGAAAGTTTGCGAGAAATTTGAACTGCCTTCGACCTTGACTCAAACTTTGGAGCTTGCAGCTAAAAGTGTGGGTTGTCCGCCTGTTTTGTTGACTTGCGGGGGTTCCAAACGGGCCATGCAAATTAACGGTTTGAGCATAGCTTTGGTTTTGTTCCAACCTTCCATTTCTTCCTTTTTGAGTCTTTTTTTCAACTGGTGGTTCTCCCAGTCAGGGTTTGAAATCCGAGCAAGGACATGACACCATCACGACCACGGGCCACGAACCGATGATTGCATACTGTTGGAATTCAAATGGATTCGGGTGTGTTTGATACCTTCGTCGTCAATCACCATGGTGACGCGTCAAAAAACGGAGTTTCGACAAGTCGGGGGGGCCTACAAACAAAGACAGTGGGAGTGACCCCAAACAAGACCCGTCGTTTCTAGAGAAAGAGAAATGTTTGGTTGCTAAGGGTTACGCCGCTTACCTCGAAAGCTGTAGTGCTGTGGGCCGTGGGGTGGACGGGAATTTTCTCCTGAAAGCTTTTTCTTAAAACGTTTTCGAGCCGTAAATACGCTGGGCGGTGAAATGATGCAGTATGCGGCACCCGACTGGTCACTAGCAGCTATTAGCTGCTCACTCACTTGAAACATGTGTCTCAACCGGCTTGAGTCATTGCTCAAACACTCAAACGGACCAGCCAACCAACAAACCAACCGACAGACCAACGTACGCACGTACGCGGACAAAAACTCAAAATGCGGGGTACACGTGGTCGAAACCAGGTTTCACCTCGCAAAAACACAACTACTCAACGTGATGTGAAAGACTGTGCCGTGGACAACACAAACTAACCACGCCTTCGGTGCAAATGCAAGAAAAAACTGGAGAGTATATGAAGGTCACATATTTCATCTCGACGCGCGGACGCTGCCCGTAGGCCTCCTTGGAATCCAACTGCTAGTTGAATTAAGGCCTAAAGGCTCAGTGATCTCCAGGCTATATACATGGGTTCTTCCCAGTTTCAAGCCATTTGAAACTCTTCAAAGTGAGTTGAAGGCTAGGAAACTTTGTACACTAAGGACTTCCTCGTCCTAGTCTCAAGCTACAAGTCACATGTCGGAGGTGGGCGTTCACCTTGCCATTTCCCTTCCCCTTGCCTTTGTCTTTTGGACGCTTGCCTCTTCCACCTTTCTTTTGAGGCGGCCTGGGCATCCTCGCTTTCTCGCCTTGGTAAGCCACAGTAGCCAACTAGCCAAACCTGCCAAAGAAACGATGCCAAAGTAGCCGAAGTAACCAAACATGTGCCCAGTTTTGCTACTTTGGCGAGTTTGGCTATTTGCCTACTTTGGCTACTTTAAAGCTACTGTGACTACTCAGGTTTGCCTACTTTAGCTAGTTTGCCCACTTTGGTTTCTGGAAGGCGAAAAACGCCCAA